AATCCCTCTCACACACACTCTGCTATTCCCAAAGATAAACAGCATCCTAAATGTTCTCATTGTGGTCTTATGGGTCACACTCGTGATCGCTGTTACAAATTGGTTGGGTATCCCGCACATTGGAATGTTTCTAAAAGTCAAAAACCTAATCAAAAGCATTCTTCACACTTTGCTAATGCACAACCTGTCATGGCTGATTCTGAGGCTCCTGTCACAAATGATAATTCCATTACTGATCCTCTCTTTGCTGAGTTCTTAGCTTTTAAAAATTCATATGAGCACAAGCAGGGCACTGTTCCACCCACTGAACAACAGAACAATGTTGCCAATGTGTTCTCTGCCATATCAGGTACTTCATCAGGTATCTCCTTATCCTGTCTAGTTCATTCTGGCTTTGATAAAAATACATGGATATTGGACACTGGTGCAACTGACCACATGATATGTGATTTATCTGTTCTTACAAATGTTAAACCTACTTGTGTGCACATCAATTTGCCTAATGGTCAGATTACAACAGCATGTTATACAGGACAAGTTCACTTATCCACCGATCTTATTCTATATGATGCATTATATGTTCCTCAGTTTAAGTTCAATCTTATTTCTATTTCCAAACTGACTGCATCTAATCATTGTCAAGTGAAATTCCTGTCTACAACATGCATCATGCAGGATCTCAAATCCCAAAAGATGATTGGTTTTGCTGAACCTAAGGCTGGACTGTATCATTTTAATCCTGCACCATCTATACATACCACCAATTATCATGTACATCCATCTAGGCATAATCCCATAAAACAATCAAATATTTCATCTGTTGTAATTGCTTCTCATGTTTCTACCTCATCTGATGTATGGCATTCCAGACTGGGACATCTATCTTTTCATAGACTTGAGCAATTACCTCTATCTCTCAAAAACTGTAAAGCTGATATCTCTCCTTGTGATATTTGTCACTTTTCAAGACAAAAGAAATTACCTTTTACACCAAGTGTTTCTATTGCTACTGATATTTTTGAATTAATACATTGTGATGTTTGGGGACCCTTTTCCATCCCTTCTTATGCTGGTTACAAATTTATTCTAACAATAGTTGATGATTTCAGCAGAACTACATGGATTTACCCTCTACTTACTAAATCTGACAATCAGTTGCATTTAAATCATTTTCACAACATGGTTTCAACTCAATTTGACAAAAAGATAAAATTTCTAAGGTCTGATAATGGCACTGAGTTTTTCTTAAAAGATTTTTTTCAAACTACTGGAATCATTCATCAAACAAGTTGTGTTGAAACCCCACAACAAAATGCAAGGGTTGAAAGAAAACATCAACATCTTCTTCA